ATAGGTTTTATAAAATTTTAACAATAAATGCGATAGTTATAAACAAATTAAAAAATGGGCACTTTTTTTTTGTTTTTTTGCAATAACTTTTTTGTTTATTAACCGATTTTAATTTAACCAGTCTCATTTTGTAGATAATTTTACTCCCTATAAGCTGTCTGGGAGTCACTTTTCGCTAAAATTGATGGTTTTCCCTGCAAAGTGAAAAAACTGTTTCCCTCACTTATTTGTTTAAATAGAAAAGTTAGCTAATAAAAGTTTCTGAGAGATGTCTTGTATTATGTTCCTCTAGACAATCTTACAATAAATATCGAACAAAATAGCGATTTTCGAAAAAAATTATTATACAGTATGCTTTTTAGAAACTATTAACAATTATTAAGTACTTTATAAGTATAAAATTCTTGACAAGACAGGATAAGTACATTTTCCGATGTTTACATGGATGACTATGTTTTCTGTGATCCTTCACAACGAAAAATTAAAGATGTTATATTTCTCTAGTTTGGATACTATCAAAATGATCATAGTAGTTACTTCAATAATCAACTTTTCCTTTATTGTACGTTGTTGTACAACTCTTCACGAATAAAATAAGCCATCGAATAAGTCTCTACGACATCTCAAAGATAAGGAAATTTGAATTTGTCAAGGCCTTTTTTACATACCTAATAAATAGCGCTTAACAAAAACTAATAAATATTTTGAGCCAAAATTTATACCACTTATTAAGTATACAATGATCTTCAAAAGAAGTTATAGTACGATTTTTTAGAAGCAAAACTAATTGAGTTAAAAAAATTGAAAAAGAACGCTAAAATTGGATGTTTTTTTGAGTTTGTAAGAAAACTAATTAACAAATTTTGATCTAGCGCATGTCATTTTGTAGGTATTTTTAATATCTATAAAAAAGTATTAAACTTTTTTTCAGTAGCATCAACGGTTCAAAAGTTGAACACAAAAAAACCGGTTTTCCGAGTTTTCTTTGATTATTTAAACAATGCTCCGAAACCGGCAACTGGTCTCAAACTATTGCCCTAATATAACTCTCCGAAAATTTCTGATTAATAATACACCTTCTTTTAATTAGTTCTCGAAAAAAGTCTAATCCGATTGGACGAAACATAAAGTCAAGGATTGAAAAATATACTAAAAGTGCAATTTCATGCCTATAAAATACCTGCCTTAATATATTATTTTTGGTAATAATAATTGTTACATAATGGAGTACTTTTAATTTTTCTCTCAAAAACCGTGTTTTTGACAAAATTTTTCAAGACTAATAATTTTTTTAATTACCATTTGCTTTCCCCAGAACACAACGTTTTTTTTAATAAAAGCAATTCATAAAAAGTTAGTTCTGTCTTTGCAATCCACTTTTTCAATCTGTTATATTTTAGTTCATTTGAATTTTTTGTGTTAATCTTGACCAAACAACACCCTGTAGAAGTATAGTAATCGTATTAAAGTATCGTTATGTGATTACGGTTGCTTTTTGATATTTACAAAAATAAAAATTAATAGTAAGTTCCGCGAAAATTGCCTTTCATTTTTCTGCAAATGTTTCTTGGCAGTCGATCTCCCATTAAAAAAATACTACATATACACATCACAACAAAACTGATAATGAACCGAATTCGAAATTTCTTCTAACAAACACTTCTGTGGAAACTTACAGCCGAGGTACAATTAAGAAAGACCAACGTAAAAACAAAAGAGCCGCAGGAAAATGGAGAAAAGGAAAAAAAGAATAAAATATTAGGTAACGATTTTCAACAGCGCATAAAGATATGGAATGAAATACGGCTTGCTGCATTGAATGGAAATGTTGGCAACCGTGGCAAAATCAAGATTTACCCAATCACTATTTCAGTTTGTCTATACAAAACATTTGAGAAGCTTGATTTTACCAGTGCCAAATTTCATGTTTTTCTTTCAAAAAATTCTCTCTAACAACGATAAAAATACTAATCAAAAACTATTTCCGAAAGAAAAAAAAAAGAAAAATTGGCTAAGTAACTAACCCAGGACTGTTTATTTGACAAATTGGCTTTTTAACTAATGTTGAAGTGATCTGTGACTACTGAAATTATAATCAATTCTTCAACAACCCTACACACAAATATAACACTACCCATTTACACTACTATTTGCAGTGGCGTGTTGTAACCGGTCAATTTTGAATTTCGATCTTCCTAAATTCATTTTTGAAATCTGCTTCAGTCTCGAAATCAAAAAGGTTTGTCATGATTTTTTTTTAAACATTTCCTCGTGGCAAAAAATCGCTTGTTATAGTGAAAAATTTGAATCCCTTGCACCCGATTTTCTGATGCCCAGGAAAATTTAACTATTTAAAAATTTATTTAGAAAGCACGCTAATTTTGCCCCATGGATAACGTGTCACTGATTATTTCTGTTTACAGAAAACGGAACTAAATATTATTCTCGACTTACACTATAAAATATTAATAAAAAAAATAATAAAAAGTCTGCTTTCTGTAAATAATCTCCGTTCTTATTATTTACGTTTCAACGCCTCTAAAGCTTTTAAAACGAATTGGTAACACTATAAACTCTCAAGAAGTCTAAAATACAGGGTGATTTTCTAAAATATAGTTGCAACATTAAGTTGCTTCGTCAACAAAAAAAATATATCTTTTTCCAAATGCCTTTACAACTCTTTTTCCAATTTAAATGAAATTTGGTATGATAGAACTTTTATTACCCTGTATAAACATCTTAGGGCACACGTTTTAAAAGCTTTACAGACGCGACAACATTCCAAGTCCTCCAAAGCCTGAAAATTCCCGGTATGCCTAACAAAATCCCTTTCACTACGACAACCGAAAGGCTATGCCGCATTGCACAAACTTCCCGTAAACCGAACCATCTTTTTAGCCAGCGTACAGCTGAGGAAGACCAAGATAGAGGCCAAGGAGCCGCAGGAGAATGGCAGCAAGGAGAGCTTCTTCAAGAAGCCGGCGCTCAAGCCGGTCCCACAGAGGGAGAAGACGCCCCCCAAGAAGGACCACAAGATCCACAACCTGCCCCAGCTACAGAAGGTGTCCGAGAGGGTGCTCAAGAACAGACCATCGGTGGTCAAAGACGACAGCTACTCGTCCTCAGAAGAAGAAGAAGAGGTGGATGACATCGATATCGATAGGGTGCGTATCAGGTCGCCTCAAGACTTTTTGTTTTGAGAATATCGGAAAGAAAAAAATATTCACTGTCAAAAATCTTTTCCAGAACTTTTGGGCTGAACTTTCGAATTCTTGGGTATGTACTGTGTCTGTATGTATGCGTCAGAACACTGACATATTGCACCAAGTGTATCTGTCTCTCAAATATAGATTCCTTCTTCTAAGTATTCAAAAAAAAAAAAACAACTCTCGTCTCTAACCAAACTGTTCTGTGTCTTTTGTATACATATATTCGTACATTCTCCTCAAGTATTCCAAGGATATTTTCCTGGTACAAAAAAATGTAGTCCTTAATCTAGAGCGTGTCCCGAAGAAAAACTTTTCTATTTACGAATTTATGAGGAAATGTAAACATTTTTAAGTTTCAAGACAAGTAGGATTTTTTTTAAAACAATGTAAGAATGACATTTTATTATTAATTTACAAATAAAAAAGTTTTTCTCTACCTTCAGGACACGATCGTAGGACACATTATACATATCTCGAATTACAAACAACTTCAAGGCACTACATATTCCTCTGACACGAAAAACCACTCCACATGTCTACAACGTTATTAATAAACTCCTCCAAACACCGATTGAACGAAGGCTACTTAACGATTCCTCAGTTTCATTATCCAATAAATCAACATCCATTCAATTAAAACTGAAGCGACCAGCCAATGGGTGTCCTTCTATATTTATCACACACACCCTCACTGCCAAAGTCTATTAAAAACTCCTTAGTACTTGGTGTAAGTTCATAGGACCAGTTAGTTGCATTTTTTTAAATAAATTGTTGCATTTACACGAATGGACCATATTTAGAAAGGTAAAACCAGCCCTAACCGCTCCAAGTGGCCACCTGACTTTCCAGAACCCAATACTATTGACCTAGTACTTTCAAAGTACTATTGTGAAGGTCCGTCAGTCAACCACAACACTCATATCTACATAACTCGAATAAAAAAAGATACCTCAACCCTTACCTAATACAATTCTTATGTGTTACCAAATTACAGGCATCTGCAGATTTAATCATGGTGAGAAATACTAAAAAAAAACTCGATTTCTGTCTAGGAGGTACCGACCAAGAGGAATGCCCTGGTGAGGGAGGCCTCCATGAGAAGACTGTCTCAGTCAAACATCCCGGCACCCCCACCACAGCCAGGCATGCCTCCCCCTCCCCCGACGATGCCCGGGGAGTTGCCCAAGAAACTACTTAACGACACACAGAAGGCCAAGCTCGATAAGCTCAGGTTAGGTCGAATATTGAATGCCCTCCAAAAAAGTGCACAAACTTTAAACAGATAAAAGAAGTTTTGTCTGATTTATTTGGTCTAAATTTTCTCTCTCTATCATTACATGTTTTTAAAACATTAAAAAAACTTGAAGGCCTATAAAGTTTGCATATTTTTACCCGAGAAATGACTTCAAGTTTTGTGCAATTCCCCCTCCCGCAATAATTCTAAAAGGTTCAGATCAGGTGTGTAAGAAGTACGAAGCAAAACAAAGACGATGGACCTTAGAAATCTAACACGTTTCTTACAGGTCCAGACCCAAAAACAGGCCGGACTGGAACAACCTGCTGCAGGAGATCGAGTCGAAGAAGAAGCTCAAGCATGTCGTGTGCAACGACAGATCACAACCCCTACTACCCGAGGCGAAGGCCCCCGACGAGCACTTCCTCTACAAGAGCGAAGAACCCAACGTCCACAACGAACTACTAAAACAGGTAACTGTCACTTTCTGCCCCGCAAACAGAGAATTAATGACACCGTCGCCTTTCAGATCGAAGGTGGCATCAAGCTGAAAAGGGTCAAGACGAACGACAGAAGCAAACCCAACCTAGACGGCCTGAGGAAGTTCAGGAGACAGATGACGATCGAGGAGCAGATACAGAAGTCTATGTCCATGGCGAGCATTCCTCCAGTAAGTGTGGTCAGTTTTCACACGACGGTCTTACTCACGTTTACCCGGTCGTGGGCGGGCTACATTAAGCCATTACCACCTAGCTCGAAAAGGCCGCAACAACAATAAAACATTAAAAATTCTGTGAAATAAAATAGATATAGTGACGTCGCTAAGCAAGCGCTATGGCTTTATATCCTAGGTGGTAACGGCTGTGCTAGAATATGCCCTCCCGGGCCGAGAAAACGTGACGTATGCGATACCCCACCGTCCCAATTATTAAAATCCCTCTCATACATGCCGTCAGGAGGAGATAGCCGACGAGATAGACGAGATGGACGACATCGACAAGGTCCGAGACGACCTGCAGAGCACGAAGCAGATGCTGGCCTTGGAGTTGAGGAACAAGGAGGCCCAGGAAAGAGAAAACAAAAGACTGCTGGCCAGGCTACAGAACCTGGAGGCCGAGCTGGAGAAGGAGAAGAGTAAAAATAAGGAGGCAGGAAACTCTGGAGGCGGTAACAATGCAGCCGACGAGAAGGTACACGAAAATCGGCGATACCTACTCGGTTTCGGTAACGAATAATGTTTTCAGATCATCAAATCCCTTAAGACTGAAGTCGAAGGGGCTAGGAAAACATCGCAAGACTTGGAGAAGAAGTATACCCAAGCGGCGGAAGAACTAGACTCCACCAAGTCCCAGCTAGAGGAGATGAGGAAACAGAATCAGCTGTTGGAGAAGAGATTGCAAGAGGCAGGACAAGGTGGGTACCCATGCGGATGAAAAATATATTTCGTTGACGGCGACAGTTTTGTTTCGACGGCTATTATTCAATTTGCAGCAAATGTAAAAAAAAATAGGGAAAGATAGAGCATTCTCATTAATTTTTCTGTCTGTTCAGGAGAAAAATTTATAGCAAAACACTTGTCGATAAACAGTTACCATGAGTTTTATTAATTATTGTATTATTTATTTACTAATTCTTCTTTAGAGTAATTCATTATTATTATTACTGTCGCTTTTCTATTAAACCTTATGTGAATCGAAAATTTTCCAGATTATCATTTGACAGGAGCCTACTACGTTATTTTACATATAAGCTATTTGTAAACTTCACATTTTTTCATAGAAATGAGATTTCATGAAAAACTAATGAATTTTGGTATAGGAGCGGGTATAGCAAAGTTGTAGAGAATTTAATTCTGCATCTCATGGTATGAAAATATACAGGGTGTTGCATTTAAAAAATTCGAGATTTTCCAATTTTTCAATTGGCAATTTTGACATGATATTTTGGTCACCCTGTACAACACAGGCCAGTTTTTGGAGCATGATTCGGAAGAGTCATCCTTACTAAACATCTGATAAAAAAATGGGCTTAGTAGCTATTAGTATAACCTGTCAGTATCAGAAAATGTAAGCAGCCAATATCAACTAGAAAAACCTTTCAAGCGAGATATCTCAAAAACTGAATATAGTCCAGACGGTATCTGTTTCAAAAAGCCATATTTGGTTGAATCGTATATCCACGGAGATTTTTGGCTTTTTGGCTTTCAAATATCACTAGAAATGAAAATTTTTCTATGCGCATAAAAAAAAACGTGGGCTTAACTTTTGGCGGCACAATATGTTAAAAAAAAATCGATCTGTTTTTTTTTAAAAGAAGCGTCTTTCCAAGAACTTTTAAAACCTGCTTTAAAAAATTTGATTTGATTGAATATTCACAAAGTTCTAATTGTTTATAAGTATAAAAATTCGACCAATGTTTAAACAAGCGCCAGAGCTCTCCTAATTGACGGATTCGAATTTTTCAAAAAAAGTTTGAAAGCCTGAGAGCCTTTCTATGTGTGATTAAATTTTCAAGTATCTAAGGGCCTTGGTTTTTGCTGTGCAAAATTTTGAAAATTTGCAATTTTTTTTTTTAATCTGGATTGCAAAATTATTATGCAAAATCTATCGAACCGATTTTGATGAAATTTGGTGTGATGATTCTACATAACATGAAGTTTTCTTGAGCCAAGTATAAAGGTCCTACACCCAATTTAAATATACCAAAAAAATTCCCTAAAAAGTTTTGTTTTTTAACCCCATTTTTGTGATTTTTTCGATTTTTACCATAATAATCATGATTCATTCGATTTGTAACCAGTCATGTATTGTAAAAAATTTAATTACAAACATTTTTTTCCTCTTCCATTTTCGCCTAAAATCAACTCTTAAAAAGATACATAATTAAATAGGAAGAAAAATATGAAATTTTTCCAATTTTTTTAACATATTGTGCCGTCAAAAGTTAAGCCCACGTTTTTTTTATGCGCATAGAAAAATTTTCATTTCTAGTGACATTTGAAAGCCAAAAAGACAAAAATCTCCGTGGATATACGATTCACCCAAACCAAAACAGATACCGCCTGGCCTAATATTTGAATAGAACTATTCTACACAAAGTACCCTTTATTTTTTATGTAGAATCCGAAAAAAATATAAAAAATGTGTGTTTCCATTTAAAAAACCAATGTTGGTGTCTGGCCAGGAAAAGTGGAACACCCTGTATAGTTCAATATATTTTTAATTTGTAATAGACAATAAAAATTAGTTGTTTGAAAAAGTAGTGTCAGAATTATATATTGTAATTCACATTCTAAGTGTTTAATTCAAAATGAGCTCCGAAAGCGAAGACAAGCGTTTACCAGGGAAAGTACTGGAAGCGGCACAAAGTGCTGTTTCACAATCAATCCCCTAAAAATCGTGGAGACAGTAGGAGATTGCCTACAACGAATTCAAAGGGTGATGTAATTCGATGAAAATTCAAAAAATGTCCAAAGCGGTATTAATGGCATATTTCGAACATAAAATTAAACCTTCTACGACTAAAAAGATTTTGATGGAGATAAATTTTTAGCTGAAGAATAATTTGCTTTTTTCTTCACCCTGTAATTTCTGAACTGTTATTAATTTGACATGGATTTGTAAGACAAACTAGCAACATTTATCATGCTCTGTTTTTCCCTGAATTTGAATCACTATAAATGCCAGATATATTTAAATTAAAATAGCACTAGATCGAAACTGCGCTGTCACCAAGTCTCTGCAAGGGAAACGTCCGATCCACGGATGTGAATCGGACGTTTTGCCTTGGCAAAGACATCCACAAACACATTATACAACCACCTGATGACCAATTCGATTGGATAACTTACAGCCGGTGAAAATTGGCTACAAAATGACGAAATTTCCAGGTCGATGACAGGCGAGTAAGAGCTGTTTCTGTATTATGTATTTAATCACCAAGGCGATGTTAACTATGTCCGATGATTAATTTTTTTTTCTTTAAACACCGTAACCGTATGTTTTGGGTTGTTGTGATAATCCGAGGTTCACCCGATCTGTGTTGACGACATGTCGATAAACAGACGATCCTAGTGGACCCCCTCCCCCAAGAAGTCGACTGGAAACCGATTTATAAAGGGTGTTCAAAAACTACAGGCAGAAGATTTAGTGGCAAGACATTTTCTTTGGTAAAAATCTTTTGTTCATAGTTTCTGGCCACCCTACGTTTGGCATAAACAAGAGAAATCACTTCTATATTACTTTGCTTCACATCTGGGGGTGTCCACTACGATTTTCCACTCTTCCATGCTCTGTTTTCTGCTATTAGCTCCGTGTTCACAACTTAACACAACTCTCTTAGACGTACGCAGTCTAAATTCGACAAGAACATCCCCCGACTAAACGATAATCTGCCACTTTTCAGGCAAACGCCTGTCGTTGTCCGACCGCAAACACAGCACCGCCAAGGAGGAGAGCGACGAAGACCTGGAGGACGAAGAGACGGCTGAAGAGAGCGACGGGGAAGACACAGAAGAGAAACGCGAGAAGAGGGCTCAGAAGGAACTGAAGACGCTGACCAAGAAGCTGCAGAGCTTCAAGAACAAGGAGGACAACGCAAGGAAGGAACGCATAGCCCTCAGGGAGATCATAAAAAAGCACCAGACGGCCATCAAGGAGGAAAAGAAGAGGTACAAGCAACTGAAGAAAGAGGTAAACGTTGCCACTGAATTTATCAGAACTGATTCGCTAAATATCTATGCTCTAGGTTGACAAGATGGAGGCCTTGATGAAAGACATGGACGAGGAAGAAGAGGAGGACGAGGAAGAGAAGGAACCGGAAGACGAAGAGTCCGAGGAGGAAGAGGAAGAATCCAGCGAAGAGGAGAGCGAAAGCGAATCAGATGAAAGCGATTCGGAGAGGAGCCAGAGCGAAGATGAAGATGCTCCAGTAGAAAAGAAGAAAACCAATATCACCGCCAGAGTGAAGAGGCACGAGAACATACTGAACGCCTTGAAGAAGGGCAACTTCCTGCTTAAGACGAATGCGGAAAGGTTACAAGACGACCTGAACAAGCAGAAAGAGCTGACAGCCAGCTTACAGGAGGATTTGGATTCCGTTCTGTCGGAATTAGGCTAATTGCACCCCCGATGTTCAGAGATTTACAGAAACTTCTCTAAAAACACTTGAGGTTTGATTTTGAGTGGAAACGCGTGTGCATTTCTTAAATATGCATAATGTTACGTGGATTTTGTGCGATTTAAAGCAATACATTCTAATGGGAAAGTGGCAACACTAAGAACAAATTTATTTCATTTTCTAGATGAACCGACAGGCTATTTAATGATATACAGGGTGGTTCATAGCGTGTGTAAACAATTTTAGAGGGAGACTGAACATCAACAATATTGCATGATCTGTAACTTTAAAATATTGTGTATTGTATCTACACCATTAATTGGATACAAGCTCATAAGGCGAACATGCAATATTTTTAATACTCCATCTTCCTTCGTTTCTTTTTACATGCAATGTGAATGACCCTGTATGCGTACGATAGTTTTCAATGTTGCATTAACCGTCAAGTGTTTTCTTCAACAATGTATTACGACTAAGATTTTACCATAGTATTTAAACTATTTTAGGTTTCAGGCATGTACTTATACAGATTGAAATACTTATCAAATTATGTATTAAAACAGATTTTATATATGAATTTTGGTTTCAACTAAACAGTTAATGGGAAAGTCTGTGTTCTTATAGGTGTTAATCCTAGTGTATAAAATATGATTTAATCGAGGCTCTAAAATTGATTCTGTACATATACAAATTTTCCTAACATAGATTAAGTCTCCTCAAATTTTTATATTATTTACGAATATTTGTTAATGAATTGTGGAAATAAAGTGTGACCAGCTTCTACAATGTCGTTTCTTTGACGTTAACTTACAAAATTGGTTCAAAAATGAAGAAAATATATTTGCAATTAGTGATCCGTATTTACGATTTAAACTCCACAACATATACAGAAAATAAACGGAATATATAAATTAATATTACATTAAAGAATTACTTACCAAATGATGCAATTTTTAACACTGTTTAGCAGTTTTACAATCACAACATTCAAATTCCACAACGAACGGACATTTTGATATTTGACAACTCGAAGCGGTAAGTATTCTTCTTCCTAAAATTTTAGTGCACTTGTACTTGTTATGTAACACATTTTTCAAAATAATTACCTATTTAACAATTAAACAGTATGTTATTCAAAGCTTAACAAATATAAGATCTGAATGTATTTTTTTTAATTTAAAACCTATAATTACCCCAAAGTAAACCAGCAGCAAAATATCAAGAAGAAGAAGAGCGTAGTTTTGATAAAAATGAAAACTTGAACTATTTCAAGTTGTTAACTGTCAAACACAGGAGAAAGGGCTATTTAAATTCGCAAAAATGGCCAAATATTTTGGTCTCGATAGGATCTTCACGTTCCTGAATACAATTAAAGAGGCTGGCGGAATCAAAGCCTCACTATACAAGTTATACAGGTAATTTTCTGTTTGTTATGTAACCTAACCTAAATATTCCAATTTGTACATTTAACAAATTCTTATTTATCAGGATGGATTCCCTGAGACCTGGAAAACTGGTGGGTACTGACAAATACGGGAATAAGTACTACGAAAACCCTATGTACTTCTACGGCAGGAACCGCTGGGTGGAATATGCTCCGTATTACGGTAAATATCACAGAATACTCCTGCAGATATAATTATCATCGCGTTATTAGGTCTGGAATATGACGGAAGTCAAGTCCCTGCCGAGTGGTTCGGCTGGTTACATTACAAAACGGATTTGACTCCGGACAAAGACCCGTCCAGGCCCAAATACAAGTGGATGATGGACCACACGGAGAACTTAAGCGGCACCCCTGGTCAGTTCATGCCTTACAGCACCACCAGACCAAAAATAGAAGCTTGGGTGCCCCCGAAAAGACAGTGACAAACTTTTAGGTATTGTGTTTCTGAGTAAATTGTGTTTAGTAATAAATAAAGTGCGATAGTGGAAAAGATCAGGAGAATTATTTTTTGCCGATACAATTCTTTAATGTTTATTTAACGTGAATATCGAAAAAAATGAATTTGAAGTGAACAACAAAACGTGCAGCAACTAGAAATTATTTTTAATAAAATAGGTTTAGTTTCGATTTGAATATCCCCCCGTTAAAACTTTGAAATAAACAAATACTTACTGGTCAGCTCCTTTGTGGCTTTTTCACGATCTTATAGTTAACGGTGCCCTTGCGACAGTTTTCTCGTATTCTCGCAACGAAGACACTTTATCTTCCGCAGCGCACAATGACGTAAAAGTATTAATCGTCAACGTCCTTTTTTGGCCAACTTGGAAAAATATTTATTAAACAAGATACAAAAAGACAACAAAAAAAGAAAGAAGCTGAACTATTTAAGCCGCTTCGTCGTTATCGACCAACACGGGCGGCGTTTCCCCATCGGATCGTTTGATGTGGTTCTGTACTACGTGCCTCGTCAGGGAAGACATGTAATGGTACGAACAGCCGCATATAGTGCACCTGCGGAAAAAAACGTATAATTACGAAATTTTAATGGGAAGAGTGGTAAGTCAAAGTATTCCCTTGGGGCAGGATACGAGATAGTCTGCAATCAAACTTACGATAAAACGTGTTATGTAAACCTTGCTAGATTTGATGTTTTCATTTTTAAAAATAAAAAAATCAATAATTTCATATGAATAGAAATAAATGTGTAAAAATTTCTTGTCCAGCCACAAATGATTCAATTTTAAACAACACTTATTGGAATAAATAAAAATGTAAAAAATAATAACACGTCATGTTCACTTGTACGCTTATGACATGCACTGACATGCCTCAGCTGGACAATGAGAGACCGCAGCATTTCGAGAAGACAAACTGTGCAATCTTAGTTGTATTTCTTTTTTGCACAATTAGTCCAACCAAATTACACTTGGAGAAAAAAAGAATTGTTACCTGGACTTTTATAAGTGGAAATGGATAAACCTAAGAAAAAAAATAATGCGTGAGCAGGGGCAGCGGAGATTTGATTTGGGGGGTTGAAAAGTTATGAAAAATTGTATCATTGGGATTTCTGGCGAAAGTTCACGTCAAACCAAAAAGTATCCAATACAAAAGTTGTAGACCATGCAAAAATCTACAACTTTCGTAGAAGTCACCTTTTAACATAACCTAAAAATTCCCGAGAAAAATGCCAAAAACGGATTTTTTTCTGATTTTTCGTTTTTTATTTCTGATTTCCGCAAAAATAATTTAATTTTGACGAAACTTGGTGAATGTATACCTTTCTCTGTTTTAAATAACCTCAAATTTTTGTAGAAAAAAAAATCATGAAGTTTCTGAGATATTCATTTTTTTCGGCCTGAATCACTTTTTTTTCAAAGAAAAATTCTACTTAAAAAATCATCGTACAGAGTTCTGCCGATAATAATTTTTTTCGTTTTGACAATATACTTTATGGTGAAATAAAAGAATCTGTAATAACAGTTCAAAAACATGCTCAAAAATGCAAAAAAAATAAAAAATGACTTGCAACAATGAATTTTTTATACAATTGAATGGTGTAATCAGTTTTTGATTTTTTTAAAATTTAAACAAATTAACAATTACTGAAAAATTCACTGCTGCAAGTCAGTTTTTACTTTTTTGCATTTTTGAGCATGTTTTTGAACTGTGATTACAGATTTTTTTATTTCACCAAAAAGTATATGTCAAAACGAAAAAAATTATTACGGGCAGAACTCTGTACGATGATTTTTTTAAGTAGAATTTTTCTTTGAAAAAAAGGTGTTTCAGGCCAAAAACAATTAATCTCTCAGAAACTTCTTGATTTTTTTATCTAAAAAAATTTAAGGTTATTTACGACAGAGAAAGGTATACTTTTACCAAGTTTCGTCAAAATTAAATTATTTTTGCGGAAATGAGAAATAAAAAACGAAAAATCAGAAAAAAAACTGTTTTTTGCATTTTTCTCGGAAATTTTGAGGTTATGTTAAAAAATGGCCTCTACAAAAATTGTAGATTTTTGCATGATCTACAACTTTTGTATTGGATACTTTTTTGTTTGACGTCAACTTTCGCCAGAAATCCCAATGATACAATTTTTCATAACATTTCAACCCCCCAAATCAACCCTCCGCCGCCCCTGCTCACGCATTTATTTTTTTTCCACTTATGAAAGTCCAGGTAACAATTTTTCTTTTTTTTTTCCCTCTAAATGAGTTATTTTGATCGGTCTAAATAAAATAAGACAGAAATAGGTGTTTGTGACCAATATGTTTGGAACACTATGCGAAATAAATAGCACATTACAATGTCCACGAGAGAAGACGCAAAATTATTAGATTAAGATGCAGTAAAATTTATTTGATTTATGTACGAGGTTTACCGTCGTACTATTTTGGACCAGGAATATAGAAATATTAGCAAAAAAGTGTTATTTTTTGTATCAATTGTAGAATCTACAACACACGAGATCGCGTTTCCCGAAAAAGACAAAACTACTAAATTTCGCCCCCAATGCAGTACGTCGACTTACCGCTCACCCCGCACGATTTTCTCTTATATTTTTGTCTCTCTCTACTCACTGATAAAGCTCCTCGGAGCCCCTGTGGATCTCGATGTGACGTTGCAGATTCGAGTGCCTGGAGAAGGTCCTCTTGCAGATGTCGCACTCGTAGTATTTGTAAGGACCGTGGACGCGTTTGTGGAAATTCAAGTCGCCCGGGTTGGTGAAACCTTTCCCGCAAGCGTCGCAGTTGAAGGGCTTCACCTTCATGTGCGCCGTCATCAGGTGCCTCTTCAAGCCGGATTCGCTCGAACACCTGCGGGAGAAAAATAAAAGTCTAGAAGAGAAACTAGGCAAGTAAAATGTATCGGTTTGTCACTTCGACTGATCCATTCTGGATTTAAAAAAAATGTGCTTTTAAAGACCCCAAAATCAAAATTCTCCACTACGCTCACCTGCGGGCACAAATGGAGCACTCCAACGGCCTCTGGTCCGAGCCGTGCAGGATGCCGTGCCTCTGCAACCGCCTCGCGGTGAGAAAGAACTTTCCGCAATTCGCCGCCGGGCACCGGAACAGCTTGCCCTCCTCCACGTGCAAGTTGCGATGCTCCCGCAGGTCTTCCTGTTCGACGAACTGCAGGCCGCACACCTCGCACGTCTTGGCCCGTCGCCCCTCGTTCCTATTCGAGTGCTGGTTGAGGGCGTGCACCTTCAGCTGCAGGTTGGTGGAGAACTCTTTGTCGCACTCGCCGCACCGAATCACGTTGGTCGGGTTGAGGATGACGCGGATGGCCCGGTAGTTGTTCTTCTCGTACGTGATGACCACCGTCACGTTGGTGGTCTCCGAGTACCTTTAGGGAAGGAAAAATACTGCAGTCTGGAAAATTTACCGCAAGACGTTGCAAATTTCTCATCGTTCTTAAAAAAAAATACTTACTGTCCACCCCCCTCCTCCCCGGGCGACCCGAGTATCGACGCCTTCACATTGTCGTTCAACACAAACGACCAGTTCTCCAGCATCTCGCCCTCATCGTTGACGACGATCTCCTCCTGCATGTGACCGCCGCTGTACGATACCTTCTTGGTGTACCCGCCGGTCGCCTCGTCGTACCTCCTCTCCACCACCTTCACGATGATGTTCTTGTACTGCAGCTTCTTCTTCACCGTGTCCATGTTCATGAGGCCGCTCAGGGTGCGGCAGATGTGGCCGAAACACTCCTTCGACACCAGCTTCTCCTGGATGACCAGCTTTTTTTTACTGGCGGCCGGCGGGGGTAGTTTTTCGAGGGGTTTCGGCGACAGCTCGGCATCCGGTAAGAGCGTCAATCCAGCTTCGTCTGGAATAGACGATAATGAGTTTCGCGCTGTATCGGGGTGCCCTAAGGTAATGTTTTAGGCCCTGTTTCATTTAACATGATCTAAATGACCTGAACTCCATTGAAGGTAGTCCAAACGGTATCTGTTTCAAAGAGTCCATATTTGGGTGAATCGTATATCCACGGAGATTTCTGGCTTTTTGACTTTAAAATATTACTAGAAATGAAAATTTTTTTATGCGCATAAAAAAAAACCTGGGCTTAAGTTTTGACGGCACAATATGTTACAAAAATTCTAAAAATGTCATATTTTTCTTCCTATTTAATTATGTATCTTTTCAAGAGTTGATTTTAGGCGAAAATGGAAGAGGAAAAAAATGTTTGTAATTAAATTTTTTACAAAATATGACTAGTTACAAATCGAATGAATAATTATTATAAAAATCGAAAAAATCGCCAAAATCGGGGTTAAAAAACATTACTTTTTAGGGAATTTTTTTGGGGTCGTTAAATTGGGTATAGGACCTTCATACTTGGCTCAAGAAAAGTTCATGTTATGTAGAATTATCACACCAAATTTCATCAAAATCGGTTCGATAGATTTTGCATAATAATTTTGCAATCCAGATTTTGAAAAAAAATTTGCAAATTTTCAAATTTTTGCACAGCAAAAACCAAGGCCCTTAGATACTTGAAAATTTAATCACAT